TCTCTCTCTCTCTCTCTCTCACACACACACACACAAACAAATACTTATGATTGAGTTCTATAGATCACAATAATACACTGTAACTGAAATTATATATTGCACAATGGCAGTGTCAGAATGTAAATATGCATTTTGCACAGCAATTTCAGCTGGAGGAAAGAAGGTGAAATAGAGTTGTCCGAGCATCTCTTCCCCACATCTACCCCCCCTTTCTTCTTGTCCTGTCTGGGGATTAAGCAGGCTGATGCAGTGGATTAAGCAGCTGGTATCTGAGACAGAAATTGTCAACAATGTCAATTTCTCACTCAGCTGTAATACGATTATAGGTAATCCCTCATATGCCCATTTAATGATGCTTTGAAGTTACAACAGCCTCAGAAAAAATTATGACCTGTCAAAATTAGGACTGTTGGGCCAACTTGCAATTTGGGTGCTTGGCAGTCAGTTTTTACTTTGACAATTGCAGTGACATAGTCACATGTTCACAATTTGTGACATTCACAGTCGGTTCCCAACAAGCAAAGTCAATGGGTTAATAACCACATGATTTGCTTAATGACCACAGTAAAAGTGATTGTAAAATTGGATTCAGTTCATTATGTTTAATAACTGCATCATTTAGCAATAAAAATTGTTATAGCAATAGCGCTTAGACTTATATATAGCTTTACAGCCCTCTAAGAGGTTTACAGAGTCAGCATATTGTGCCTAACAATCTGGGTCCTCATTTTACCCATCTTGGAAGGATGGAAACTGAGTCAACCTTGAGTCTGGTGAGATTTGAACTGCCGAACTATTGCAGTCAGCAGAAGTATCCTGCAGTTCTGCATTCTAACCACTGCGCCCTCATGGCTCTTGAAGATGATCACTGACTTGTTATGATGTATGGATCCCCAAATGCTATAAATCCAAGATTCATGTTTGAATCAAGCTACATTGGTTTATTTAATAATCAACTTTAATACAAACCCTGTATGAACTAGTCTCTGACTTGATAATGGCTCTCTAACCTTTTGGGCAAGTGGTCCTCGAGCCCTGTGAAATGATTAAACTTTAAACTTTCTGTGTTCAAAGCTTTGTAATTGTGCTAATGGCTCCATCTTCTTTCTCTTCTCTGCTCATTATCCCACTTTTTCTCCAATAGGTTACGAAGGAATGATTCTTCCTTCTCTTTGCAGCAGGGATTGCAATATGATCTTCTTCATCAGAAACTTAAAGGATTGGAAGAGGAGAATCAGAAACTGCGTGCTGAAGTAAGACTCAGCTGTGTATTGTGTATGTGTTTATGGTCAACACGCCTAGCAGTGTACTGTAAGATGAACTGTTTTATTTCTAGTGTATGTTTTTAAATAGCTATTCTCATACATTAAAAAAGATGACTTCTATGGACTTTATAATAAATTACCACATTTTTCGGACTATCAGATATACTCGCCCACGCCTGGAAAAAGTAGGTGGAAATATCTGTGTCTCTTATAGAGCAAATGTTACTGAAGCTCTGCCTACCCGCTGGCACCCACCCTTCGGCCTCTGCCTCCGTGTAGGCTGATCCCGCTGCCTATCCCTGCTGCCTGGAATAGGATGTGTGAAGGTAAAAAATGGACCGTGCGGAGGCAACAATAGGTGGCAGTTCCAATGGGCAGGGCTGGCACTGATGGGAGTGCGATCACCGCAGCCTGGAACAGGTGATCTGTGGTATTCTGGGAGGCAGATCCAACCGCCAATCAGCTGCTTGTGCTTAATTTGGCTGTGCTGAAGGTGACCAGGCTGTTAGCTGTTTGCTGCAAGAAGGCAAATTGCTGGGAGGAGGAGGCAGATTTTTTTTCTTGTTTTCCTCCCCCAAAGCTAGGTGCGTCTCATAGTCCAAAAAATATGGTAGATTTGGTTTCAAATGGCTGGATCCAAGCAGCAGCATAAAACTGAATTGCAAGTTTTTGATGGTTTGGAATCCACAAATACTTTTATTAAAACCAACCAAAGGGTGCAAGTTTCCAAATCACTAGAATTCTCTCACTAGATGCAAACAAGTCTTCGCATTTTCCCCAAGGCCAGCAAGTGAACTTCAATCAAATCTAAGCTAAGATATAATTTGGGGAATTCTTCAAAAAGAATTTGCTCAGCCTCCTATTTATTACAATATCCAATTTTGCAGGGTTTTTATCTTTGGCTAGTTGCCAACACTGTAAGGATATGTAAGGATTCTCTGAGCTTCTTTGTTTGCTGGCAGATATTTTCTCATTCAACTGATAACTCCATCAGTCCTTTTCTATTGGATCTATAAGAGTATTCTAGTAAACCAGCCTCATGGCCATATGGGGATGGGTCAATAGAGTCTTTGAGCCATATGGTCCCTTAATCTCCTTTACAGGGACTCTAGTGTGACTCTCATTTATCCCACCCTGAAGACATTTCTAGGCAAAGAACAGATTTTCTATTTGTTGCTTCTCTTATCTGATAAAAACCCACGTATTTCATCCCAGATTGTCTTGTGTTCACTTCTCTATGTGCTATTTATTGTAGTAAGGATTCTCCTTATCATTTCTTTACATGTACAATGTTATGTTTTTCTAGTCATTATTGTATTTTTATCCCTCTACTTTTATATTCCATTCTTATTCCTCGTTACAGATCTTATATTTACTACACGTTAATTGACATATGTGCATATTTATGCTTATTTGTTAGATTTTATATCACTGTTTTCTGGCTTTATGGCTGTAATAAAGGAATTGGGTTGGATTTTATTTTCTCCAAATATTGTACCGATAGTCTCAAATAGTAAATCTCTGTCTTTCCATCTCAGGCTACAAACATTGCTACAGAAACATATGAATATGAGGAGCAGGAGCAGAAGCTCATGCTTGATTGTATGGAACAATTTTGTAAGTTTTTTTTTCTGGAGAGAGAAACGTTGAGGGGAGTGGGAATAGGAACAACCTCTCAATAGCTGTAAAGTTCTTCTTTTTCTGGTATAAAATATACAATGAAAATGAAATGAATTATAATTGACTTTATAATTACCTATCTCCTGAGGCTCAGTAGTGCTATGAAGTGAAATAATTGTTTCATTTATCTTTCAAATGCTCCCAGTTGATTAATCATTCCCCATCTTGCTCTCAGGTGGCTGCCCTGCCAAGGGATATTCGTAGTATTAATCCAATAGGTTTGGTAGGAATTAGGTTGGGGAAAGTTGACACCAGCCAATCCATGAACAGTTTTGGCTATGCCTGATTTCAGTAACAGTAAAATTATCTACAACTATATCTCCCTACTGAGATATGAGTGCCAGCACAAATACATATTTGCCTCACCAGATGATTGTACTTAGTTGATCTTGCTGGAGTTAGAAACTAAGCAAACCTTTGCTATATAATTGTTAAAATAATCTCATTGTCTGAATTTAACTGCGGCTTTACTACATGCTTAGTAAAAAGGTTTCAATTTCTGCCTCCCATGTATTTGACGCATTCTTCCCAGTGTAACAGTACATTATTATTACTGTAGCTGCATTACTTGCACCTTCAGCATAGAATTAACCATTAGAGTATAATAACAGAGTTGGAAGGCACCCTTGGAGGTCTTCTAATCCAACCCCCTGCTTAGGCAGGAAACCCTACACCACTTTAGACAAATGGCTATCCAGCATCTTCTTAAAGACTTCCAGTGTTGGGGCATTCACAACTTCTGGAGGCAAGCTGTTCCACTGATTAATTGTTCTAACTGTCAGGAAATTTCTCCGTTCTAAGTTGCTTCTCTCCTTGATTAGTTTCCACCCATTGCTTCTTGTTCTATCCTCAGGTGCCTTGGAGAATAGTTTGACTCCCTCTTCTTTGTGGCAACCCCTGAGATATTGGAACACTGCTATCATGTCCTTCTTTCTATTAAACTAGACATATCCAATTCCTGCAACCGTTCTTCATATGTTCTTCATATGTTTTGGTCTCCAGTCCCCTAATCATCTTTGTTGCTCTTCTCTGCACTCTTTCTAGAGTCTCAACATCTTTTCTACATTGTGGCGACCAAAACTGAATGCAGTATTCCAAGTGTGGCCTTACGAAGGCCTTATAAAGTGGTATTAACACTTCACGTGATCTTGATTCTATCCCCCCCCCCCTTTATGTAGCCTAGAACTGTGTTGGCTTTTTTGGCAGCTGCTGCACACTGCTGGAGGCAACTTACGACCTCAATTGAGCCCAGAATTTCTGTTGTTAAGTGAGACATTTGCTAAGTGAATTTTGCTCCATTTTACAACCTTTCCTGCAGTGAATCACTGCAGCTGATAAGTTAGTAACTCAGTTGTTAAGCGATTCTTGCTTCCCCATTGACTTTGCTTGTCAGAAGTTTGCAAAAGGTGATCACATGACCCCGGGACATCGCAACCATCATAAATATGAACCAGTTGCCAAGTGTCTGAATTTTGATCATTTGGCCATAGGGATGCTGCGATGATTGTAGATGTGAAAAATGGTCTTAAGTCACTTTTTTCCAGTATCTCTGTAACTTTAAACGCTCACTAAATGAACTGTTGTTAAGTTGTGGAGCACCTCTTTTGAATGCTGCTAAGTCAAACTCAGCTCAATTATGAGTTTACTTTCTGTCTTCTAATACGAAAGCCTCAATCTGCTGCAACACAATCACATAATTCTACCCCAGTTCTGAATTGATTTTTTTTTTTTGGTAGTTTCTTGCAAAGTTGCCAATGCAACAATGTCTTAATTTTTCTTAATAACTGAATTAAATAGTTCATTTTCCTTTTATTAGCAGCCAAAGATCTGGTCAGATGACATAACTAAAGGGAAATTGCATTTTGATAAAGCCAGACGCCACAAAATGAACCCATTGACACTAGCAAATCAGGATTGTTTTGAAACTGCTTGTTTCCTTCTGTTTGATATCCAAAGAAATAACCTTGATAAAGGCATAAAAATTGCAGCAGACAACTTCTAAAAATTCATAACTGTCACAGGTAAACCTCGAGTTACGACAATTCACTTGTTGACTGTTCGAAGTTAACGCAATAACCCCGAGTATTTATGACACAGTCCCCAAATTACTAATGTTGCAGCACCGTGGCGGTTGTTCATCCTTACAAATGTCTGCAGAGGCATTGCAACATTCCTCCCTTCTATTTCTCCCACCATTGCTTCCTCCCAGTGGTGGGTTTCAAAATTTTTTAGAACCTCTTCTGTAGGTGTGGCCTGCTTTGTGGGAGTGGCTTGTTGGCTATGTGACGGGGTGGGAGTGGCTTGCCAGCCATGTGACTGGGTGGGCGTGGCCAACTTGTAAAATGTGGTGAAACTCACTTAACAACGCTCTTTCTTAGCAACCAAAATGTTGTCTCAGAAACTCTGGCATTTGGAGCACGCAAGTTTTAAATCTGTCAAGTTACAAGACCCTTGCACCCCTAACCCTTTAGAAAAAAAATACCAGGGGTGTTCAAACTTGACAGCTTTAAGACTTGTGGACTTCAACTCCCAGAATTCCTCCTCTCGCTCTTCATCTTGATGATGTGCGGACGGGCGGGGGGAGGGAGTTGGAACCGGTTCTAAATGGCACTGTAGATTTGTGGAACCTCTTCTATAGAAGAGGTTAGAACTGACGGGGACCCACCCCTGCTCCTGCCCCTCCCATCCTGCCACTCTGGACTCACTTACCTTGCGAAGATCTACTCTCCTCTCTGCTGTGATTTCTTTGAGAGCGGGATGATTTCACTTCCTGCATTCCATCAGTTTTTGTGCACCAAGAGTGAAATGTTCTGGGTGCCATGATTTCGTGTGACTTCAGCCCACCATTCTCTGCAAAAGCGGACAGGTGCCTGAAGTCGCGAGGGATCACGGCGCCCAGACCATTTCACTCTTGGTGCACGAAAAATGTTTGAAAGCCAACAGGATCATTGAGGGAGCAAAATCAAGCTGCCTCAATGCATCCCATCGCATTGCAAATGTTTTGAGTGAAGACTGGAAGCTTCCTGGGGCCATGATCTTGCGTGGCAGAGAGGCTGGAGAAGAGACAGCTCATTGGATCTTCACAAGGTAATTCACCCGGCATGGCAGGGTGGGAAGGAGAAGCAATTGTGGGGAGCATGAGGCATATTAGTGGGCTGGGGGAGGCCTTGGGTCAGGGGTGTCAAATTCAGTTTCATTGAGAGATGCATCAGGGTTGCGTTTGACCTTGGGGGGGAGATGTGATGGGCATGCCTGCCATGGCCTCCTGCAACCCTCTGCCTGCGAAAACGGGGCTTGGGAGTTCTGCCCGTGGCCCTCACAAGCTCAGTTTCTGAGTCCTGCAACTCTCTTGACAGTGAAAATGGAGTTGGGAGTGCTGCTCGCAACCCTCATGAGCTCCATTTTCAGCTGCGGTGGCCTCTTGCAACCCTCTGCCAGCAAAAATGGAGCTTGGGAGGATTGCACGCAGCCTTCCCAAACACCATTTTCGCTGGCAGAGGCACTGCGGGATGGTCTTTCCCTGTTTCCAGAGCAGCCCCACGGGCCATATCTGAGCACCCTGTGGCCCGGAAACGGCCCATGGGCCTTGTGTTTGACACCCCTGCCTTGGGTGGTCTTAAGTAGGTTGCCTGTTCCATCACTAGCCACCCCTCCATGGCCTTTCCCACTCTGAGATATACCTCATATGCATTTAACGACCTGCACATTTGATTAGCGAATGCCTGGCTGAAAGCAGGGAGTGTTCAAGTTCATTTTACGTGATTCACTCCAACGAATCCTCAGGTTACGAATGTAATTGGGAGGCTCCATTACATTTGTAACTCAAGGAGTACTTGTATTTATTTGGTGGGCTTTTTTTTTCTTTTTAGTTTTTGTACACTGACTTTTAAAAAGTCCTTAAAAACAATGGGAGATGAAGGAAGGAAGCAGGGAGACCAGCCAGGCTTTTTACAAACGAACAGACAAAGTTATTTAGAAACAGCGTATATATTTCTAGAGACTAAAGAAACCGTTCTGTTGAGAGTATCTCAAGTTACCAGTATCAGCAAAGCTGTTTGAATTGTCCAGAGATTTGCTTTATTGATTCAATAGAGCAAGATGGAAAGAAGCTTAGAGATGTTAGTGGCTCCTAAAGCATCAGAGATGGATGGATAAAAACCACCAGTATTTGCTTTGTAGTGTTTACAACTTTGATCAGGGATCAGAAATCTCTAGCTCTAAATATGGCCTGAAACGCTTTTGGCATGCCAATTTTCTTAACAAGCACTGCTTTTTCATTTCGTAGAGATTGTTCAAACTCAGCAGCCACTTCTGTTTGTTAGCTTTCGCCCTGTTAAAATGTTCCCAAATCTCTGCTAATCTTTGTTAATGCTTCAGCTCCTTTTCTCCCTTTAAGGCAAGGCTAAAGGTACATCTGAAAATATCTGATATGTTTCTAAGAAGAAATTACTTTATCAAAAGTTGTGATGCTTTTGCTTTTAGGCTACAAGCTTAATGATCTATTTACATGTTACTATGATACTGAAATTACAGTGTAGCAACTGAATGTGTAGCATTCTCTTGGCCAGAATAATTTTTGCTTGATTTAAAGGGGAAAAAAAACCCTGAAATGAACAGAAATTTCATCACAGTCTGCTGAAATTATGTTTTGTTTCAGACTGGAATTTAGTTTTGGGGTTGAAAGTTATTGATTCAAAATAGTAAGAGACATCATCTAAATAGGATCTAATTAGGACCTATCTAATTCTATTGGGAAAAAATATCTTGCCAATTATTTTGTGCTCTGTATTGTTTTTATTTTGGATATAATTGGTAGAATAATAATGGCCTTGCTATTTTTGTGTCAGGTTCATGGATTCAAATCAATAATAAGGAAGTTTTCTTTATTCCTTTCACTGTTCCAGTGAAGTTTGCCTTTGTGGGGCCATCTGTCTTAA